ACAAAGAGTTTTTAACAGGCTGCAAGGAGTGTTATAAATATTTAGTCTAACAGGAGATGAGAGGAGAGAGGCCAATGGAGGCTGGAAGGAAGACTTCGTGGAGGAGGTTTGGGGCTGAGCCATAAAGGATTCAGTGGGAAGACATGAACAGGCAGGAATGTCCTCCACCTACAAGGCCCTGTCTGTCTCCAGGGACAACTATCTAATGGCACCAAGGCACCCTCCTGAGGCTGTAAGCCCTGACCGGTGACTGCTTCCACCAAGTTACAGGCTCAGTTAGACCTCCTCCACCTCCCGATGGACAGACTTCACATGGGTCCAAAGTCACTCTTCACCAACATTCTATTTGGAGGCCTGAGCAATAGCCAAAGTGTGCTGCCTAGGCTTAAGGGGAGCAGATGTCACCCAGCTTCTATGTCACCTCTGCTTCGCCCCAACAAGGTTAGAGCCTCATACTAAAGCAACTTGAACTGGCCAGTGGCAGGATGCCTTTCTCTCTTGGCACCCTCAGCTGCCACCCCAAGGGCATGCTTCAACCTCATCTGTCCTGTCATACATTCACATTCTCATGGGAATTGCTGCTCCATCCACCTTTCAGGCCCACTTCAGACCGCCTCAAACCATTCCCCTTTCTCCAGGAAATGCCATGCTACAGAGTACTTCCTGGATAACTTGGTCCAGATACGCATTCGAACCCTTAAGTTCCTGCTGATAAAGAGCACTGTGAGAGCTCTTGCTAATGCACGAAGCAGAGGCAGTCTCTGTCCTCAGAAAGCTCACAGTCAATATGATGGAAAAGACAAACTTGGAGCCTCTGATGAAATAAAGATTTAATTGCCTAACTCTCAAGCTCTCCCTTCACTGAGTCAGCTGCAGTTCATCAGGCGACCTGATTCTCCACCACTGGAGAAGGGTGCATGGGTCCACCCTGGAAGGTGAAACCCAGTAATACCAGGATGAACATTTGTTTACCTACAATGTGAACTACAACTATATAAACAAACACGCTATATGGGAAGGCAAATTATAGTGGGACAATTGCTGACCAAATAGAATAGAAATTCTAATAAGAGTCACATGGGTAAAGACATCAGACTCTGACACTGACATGTCACCTTCTTTAGAGTAGGACAAACAAAAACCACGAGTCTTTGGACTGTGAAAGCATCTTCCCTGGTTGGGGCTTGAACAGGCACAATCTCTGGACCTCCCTTTCTCCACTTCCATTGTTGGTCAGTCCCTTTCTGGTTGACTCGTTCTTCTTTCAAGATGTCCATGTATTCAATCAGATCAAAGGTTGGCTGTGAGAGCTTAAAAGCCTTCCTGTCCCTTTATGGTCACTAGGACAGCATCCACTGTTATCTACTGGGGTATTAGTTTAGAGTTAAAATCTCAGAAGGCTTTGATTTTTATTTAAAAATTTGTGCATGACAGGGAAAGCAATATAGCATGGATAAGACAAGTACTGACTATGTAGCATCTCACTACACTGATGGACAGTGACTGCATTGGGGTGTTGGAGGGGACTTGATAATATGGGTGACTGTAGTAACCACAATGTTGCTCATGTGAAACCTTCATAAGATTGTATATCAATGATACCTTAATAAAAAAATTGTGCATGAGAGCTCACTAATGAGATTTAAAATAAAAGTAGTAATAATAATGGGAGGCAACAGTGGAATATGTTTTATCTTTAAAGCACAAAGAAAAGCATCTCTGGCTGAGCACGTGCAATAGGTCAAAGGCATCAAAGAGCTCAGGAGTCTGGGGGAAGATGCAGCAGCTATTGGAAATGATATCGATGAAACCAGTCAGGAGCCCAATCATGGAAAACCAAGGAAAGGGGATGAACATCTGAAGCTTTCTGAGCCAAGCAATGTGATGATATTATTTGCCTTTAAGAATGATCTCTCTAGTTGCTGTGTGGGAAAGAATTAAAGATGGCATAGTCCCAAAGACCAGGAAACCACTTAGGAAGTTATTTCCACAAAGACTAAACAAAGCATGAACTAGAACAGTAGTGTAGACAGCAAAAAGAGAACAAAAAAATAATGATCTTAAGCAGTTCCAATTCACAGAATTTAGTAACAAACTTGGACTATGGAGAGGGAATAGGACTTTAGTGGTCCCCACTTAGGTATGCAAACGTCGTCAGATAGAAAAGGGAAAGGAAATAACATAACAGAATAATCATCAGACTTGGGGGAAAGATAAAAAGTGGTTCTAAAAATGGTTCCATGAGCCATCCATTTGAATATAATCAAAACAATAACAAAAGATGACCGTGGCTAATAGTAGGAATCCCAAAGTCTAAGTCCTAAATATAGAGGAAGAGAATCCAGTGATGGTTACTAAGGAAGGCCAAGACCTAAGGACCAGTCAATGGCAAAGCAGCCATAACTGAGGTCACTGGATCTGAGCAGGTGGGACAGTCTCCAAACGGTCCCCTCTCCTTATACTGGCTTGCCTCCTTGCTGCCGCCTCCTAGCTTCTCAAGCCAAGTGGTTATTTTGAAAATAAAGACGCCTGAGCCCCACCCACAGATCACCTGATTCAGTTAGTAGAATGTGAGGCCAAGCATCTGCTTTTTTAAGAGAGCCAGAGTATAAAATTTGATGCCCACTTAAGTTTAATAATCACAGCTCTTAGTTCATTTCCAAATCCTACAGAAACTGAAACATATATTAAATAATGATAAATGATTGTAACACTTCCTATGCTGCTAATAATTACCCAGTTCCTCAAAGTCTGGGTCATCCTGGAATAGGAGAGAATAAATTTTATCCTCAGGTTAGTAATCTTAAGGCTTAGAGAACCTTCTGGTATCATGTAGGCCAAACCCTCATTATATAAGTGAGAAAACTAAGGCTGAACACATCTGTTTCTGACACTGAGATAATGGCAGAGTTGATTCTAAAAATCTACCTCTCTACAAATGTCCAGGGCTTTCACATCGATGACCACAACAGGCCAAGGTCAGAAGGAAAACACTGTCAGAGAATTCTCCTGTCAAGACTTAAAAGTGTCATAATACTGGTGCCAAGAGGCAACTGCTGCACAGCTGCAAGGTGGGAGACAGGATGCTCATGGAATAAGTGCAAAGGAGCCACTCGGAGGGATGTGTAACACCATGTCCTGACAAGTCCAAAGCCGGACTTGGAAAGGGGATGATTTTACAGTCAAAGCCCTGAGACTGAGCAGACCTGGCAATTGATATCCTCTGAGCAGAACAGCAACACTGTTAACAATTAAACTGTGGTCACAGCCAACGCTAACAGGAGGATAATGAAAGTATGCAAAGTACTTATTTTAAGTCCTGACACATATCAAATGAGAAGCTGCCATTGAAATTCTTTTTCATTGGCCTAAGAGTTCATAAGAAAAACAAAAAATATTGGGAGGCAAGAACTTGGAAGCCATTCATCTAGGCAGAAATTTACTGAACATTTTCTAACTGCCAGGTATTATCCTAGCAAGTAGAGAAGGCACAGGTGGCAGCTATGATGTCTATAAAGATGAACTTTCCATTAATGAAAACTAGGTGTTTAGCACTAACTATCCTAAGTGATTCCAAAAGTTATGGCTGATTGATGGATAAAATAGTGTTATGACAGATTTATGGACTTAGGGGACAAAAGTTTGAGTCAGGGCCTGCCAGTGAGGACAGCCCTGGTGAACTCTCAGGCCTTCTGTCGGGATATGAATTGATCCCATAGAGTTTAGTGGAACTTAGAACTAAAAGAACTGCACTAAAAAAGATTGAATCAGTCCTAACTTCAAATTATCTTTTGACCACTGAATGGACTCAAGTAATCAAGTATGCTCACCAGCCAGAAGCCAAGGTAAATCCTCTCTTCAGGAATATTAGAGTACACAGAGCTTCAAATGAACTGTACAGTTTTTCATATTTAATGTCTGTCATTCAAGCAAAATTAAGCATCCAATGAGAAAATAAGACCCTATGATCTAAATCTAAGAGAAATGGAAGACCCACAGGGAAAACAAATAATGGAATTATCAGATGTGGACTCTCTAATAATTGTGTTTAATTTGGTCCAGAAATCAAAAGATAAGCTTGAGATATTCAACACTGTGCCTAAACTACATAAAAGAACAAATAAAAGTTATAGAACTGAAAATTCTCAGTAACTAAAATTAAGGAACAAACTGATGAGTTTAATAGAAGGTTTGACAAGATTGAGGTAATGAACTGAAAGAAATGAATTGAAAAAAAACCTCCATTGAAGCACATATGCATGAAATAATTGAAAATAAGGAAATGCATAAGAGATATAGAAATACGTTTTTTTAAAGAGATTAAGCATTTATATTATTTTGGAGTCAGAAGATGAAAAAGAAAAGGTAAAAGCAATATTGGAAGAACTAATAACAGAATAATCATGAAAGGAAAAAATGACATCAAGCCACAATTTCAAAAAGCACTACAAAGCTCATGCAGAAAATATAAAAGATATCCATAATTGGACTCACCATGGTACAACTACTAGAATCCAAAGACAAGAAGAACATTTTAAAAGTGTTCAGAAAAAAGACCTATGACCTTGGAGGGGGCAAAAGAGCTCCTTTCAAAATGGTAAGAGTGATGACACTGTTTGCATCTCCTGGAAATCATGGAAGCCCTACGATAATGGAACAAGATAGTAAAAATACAGAAAGAAAATAAATAACCCATCAAACATATTATACAAAAATTAAGATGAAACAAAGACTTTTTCAGACAGATATGAGATAATTCATAATAAGAAAATTCACAGTAAAGGAAT